CCCACCAGCTCTGTACCTCTTTTGGATATTTAAAAACATATCCTTTGAGATTCACTATAGGGCAATTGTCACAGTGCTGATTTGATTCTTGTTGCTTGGATTTTTTTTGAAATAAGATATCACATCCAGACTGCCCTCACGCTCGCGATTCTCCTGACTGAACCTCCCAAGTGCTGGGATTACAGGCATGTACCATTGTGCCCAACTCTATCTTGATTCTTGTTTGTTCTTTGTTTTTTTTTTCTTTTTTCTGTTATTTTTATTTCTGTCTTAATTTTAATAGCCATTGACTTACTTAGCTATGCAAGGATAAGGAACTAATTAAGCATAATGAGACCTTGGTTAATATAATCCATGTCCCTAGTCCAAAAATGTTGAAGGTGAAACATGAATCAAAATGTTGGATAAGCTAGGCATCTGTGCCTTACACCTATAATCGTGGCTATTCAGAAGGTAGAAATCAGGAGGATCGAGGTTTGGCACCAACCCCAGGCAAAAAATTCACAAGACTCCATCTCAATGGAAAAAAAGTTGAGCACCTGCCATCCCAGCTACAGGGGGAAGCATAAATAGGAAGATCACAGTTCAGGCCAGCCCAGGAAAAAATGAGACCCTATCTTCAAAATAGCCCGAGCATAAAGGGCTGGAGGTGTGGCTTATATGGTAGAGCACCAGCCTAGCAACCACGAAGCCCCACGTTCAAACCCTAGTACCACCAAAATAAAAAAAATGTTGTATAAATAGGCCAGGCATGGGGATACACACCTGTAATCCCAGCTATTGGGGTGGAGATAGGAGGATCGCCATCTCTGGCTGGCTGGCAAAAGCATGAGATCATATCTGAAAAACAAAAAGGACTAGGGGCATAGCTCAAGTGGCAGAGCCCTTGCCTAGTAAGCACGAGACCCTGAGTTCAATCCCAAGTGCCACCAAGGGAAAAAACGTCATATAAATGGCATTCTGGTTAAGGGTATTTCCCCAAATGCAGGTTGTTTTCCTTCCCTGAGCTCTCTTCAGAACAGCCTGGCTGCAGGAGCGGGGCTTTGCCTCCTCATCACAGGTGTCATGGGGCCAGCAGGAAAACTGGCTCAAGCAGTGGTTCATGGAAGCTGGGATCGGCACTTTCTCTGAATTTGACTTGAATTTTTTCTTCACATAATACTTGGGCCTCCAGAAGATTCATTCAGCCAAGCTGACTTACAGCACTAAATGACTAGTTAACCATACCTACTAATCACATAAATATAGTTTATGGAAGATATAAAATGGTTTATGAAATCATTTTGGAACAGTCTTTTCAACTGTAATGGTGCCAGTCCTTAATACCAAGTGACACTGGCAGGAATTAGCCTAAGAATCTTTAATATTCTGATGATTATCAGACAAAATTGTGACTGCAACAAAATGACAGGGCTGCACTTAATTCCTCTTCTTCCATTGCATTTCTTTTATTTTTTTTCCTTTTACATTAAAACATATTTGGTAACACTTCATCCCAGAAGAAGGCTGTGTAAGTTTCCAGTTGCTGTAATTAAGTTAAACCATAAAATTGTTTCCAGATTACCAACCATGAAATGGAAAGACAGTCTTATTTATGAATTTATAAATCAGATAATCTCCCTCAAATGAATTCTGCAACCAGAAATACTTTGATGATTAAATTGGAGGGAGAAAGTTTTCTCATCACCATGTGTCAAAAGAATTTTGTTTTCTTGAAGTGGTTTTGGCAACGATGGTAGAAGGCACATGCGTGATCCGTGCACTGTAAGGTGGTATGTCCACAACACTCAGATCCTTCCATTCCTGGGGAAGGGAGGTGAATTTCTCCCCATCTGCACTCAGACTCAAGAGTTTGAATTCCCTGGGGAGGATGCAGGGAGCAACTGTGTGCCTTGGTAGCTCTGATACATCTTATCTCCTTCCTGGTGGTCCTGCCAGCAACAGACTGGAAGAGGCCACCCTTGGAGCGTTCATGCCCTAAACTCACAGCTGCCAAAAGAAAAATCACACACCCACCTGGATGCCTGGACTAATTCAGGGCTTTTGCTCCAAAACTACGTCCCAGGCAGTTCTACAACTATGTCGATATCGACCCTGAAGAAGAAAGGAGTCAGATGTAATTTGAGAATTGTCTTTCTCTGCATCCTAAAGCCATTGTCTGAGGTGTGGAGGGGTGGGAGTGGGTAGGACCTGACCAAGTACCCACTTAGCCATGGAAGATGCCAAAGGCATGTTTGACATATTTACAGGTAGTAAATATGGCAGCCCAGGCTGTGACATTCTGCAATTCCACTCTGATAAACCAATTGAATCTAATGCCCTTTATCAAGAATCATTGCATACTTGATTTAGGTTTTCCTTCTGCTGCTCTCCTTTGTCAGACAAGGTAATGAAAACTGTTGACCAGGGAAGCAAGGAATCTGAAGGAACACAGGGTTAGCCTCACCAGCATTATGCCCGTGCCACTGTTGGCATCCCAGAGCACCCTCTGCCATTTCCCTCCTGGCGATTCCCACTCATTCTCCACAGCTGTAGACTTGCTGTTTCCTTTGCATTTTTTGCATAGGATGGAGTAAGATGGAACTTGCAGCCTGAATGTACCTCCCGTCTTAGGGTCCTCACTTTGACTTCAAGCACTGCAGTGGACAGAGCCAGCCCCTGTGGGATGAAATGGGGGTTCTGGGCATTTCCAAGGTCATTCACTTCCCAAGAGTTTGTGTGAGTGTGTCTCTCACATGGCAGACAGCATGCTCACCCACTACCGCCATGGCTTCTGGGATGCCATTCTGACTTGGGGTCTATAAAGTTGGGATTTCCAATGGGGTTTTTACTAAGCTGCTTTCCTAATTTCTTACTAATTTTTCTCCTTGACACATTGACCATTTTATGAGAAAGATGAGACTAGCAGCACAGGCATGACTGAGAATGCCTTACTGCTCAGGTTTAGCATCCACTCTATGCCTGGCAACATTTGCACAGTCACTCTGTGAAGATGCCTATCAACACTCACCATCTGAGATGCCTTCTTTTACCCCTTTAGAACAGAGACATCACACCACTAATCCTAAAGTGTTGGTCAGGTATCTTTCTCCCTTTGGTTGACTTACAACCATTAACTATCCAGATGACATGATGAAGGTCCAAGAAACTCAGTTTTGTGTTAGGCCTCCTGATTTTCAACTAAAGAAAATGGTGACATTCTATAGGTAGAAGCCTGTAACTGTAAAACTAAACTTAGCATTTCATGTGGTGTTAGAGGTTATATTTCAGACACAGAACTCAAGGTCTCAACGCTCAAAAATGTTCTTACTTGCCATAATGTTCAGGATACAGATAGGCTATCTGTCAGAGAGTGACCCCAACAAGTTGCTTTTTCCTAAAGAAGGAATAGAACAGTGTTGTTTTTTCTGTTGAGGACCAGATAAAGCAGTTGGTCTTGTGAACAAGAGCCACAGTGTTTGAATGTGCTGTTTGTATCATTATGGCTCACACTAGAGGAACTTGGGACCTCAGTGGTCACCTATCTCACACTCATGCCAGGACACCTGTTTATGGGGTACATGGCCGGTGCATGTAAGTGAGTTCACAGGGGTTCCATGAAAAGCCACCCTTTCTTAGTCACATATGTTGCTTTTATAACGTTACAGTGAAATGCCTGGTGTTGCATCAGATGGCCTTGGAGAGAGAAGTTCTGCGTCTGTCTACAGTCAATAAAGAGAGGGATTTTTAAATGAATGTCTTGAGATGATCGAGTGATTAAGGGCGTTCATTTTCTTACTTGATCTTATAAAATCCTCCAGGCTAGGACATTAGATCGAGCATCATCTATTCCCAGACACACATTGATTTCAATCACATTTTCCATAGTCTTGGTAAGAGATATTTGTGTTGCCCTTGGGCTATGGAACAAATAAATACACATACAACAAGCATCTCTGTCACTCACACCAAGACCAGGCTGCAGTCTCCCTGCTGAGCAGAACAGCTTAGCAGTGCACAGGATTGTGTAATGCCTGCCCCAGGAAAGGAGCTCTTTGTGCAAAGTAAAACAACAAAGCGGCGCAGGAAGGCTCAGAAATACATGGTGTATATAACAGACGATTTTCAAGAAAGATGTCTTCCTTTCCCAGGAGTCCCCTACTGATCTGTGCAGTGTCTTTCTCATGAGGCCACTGGCTTAACATTCAACCCTGATCATCCACTCCTGGCCTCAGCCGAAGATTTGTGGTCTGTGCAGGTGTCCCAGCTGGGTTGGGATGAACCTTGGTGGCCTACAAGGTGGTGTCTTTTTATAAGCCTCAGGTGGACCCTTCACCTAGCAGCACCAGTCTGAAAGTCAACAGTCCTTTAACAAACACCCACTTCTCTTGTTTTCCAGAGAGAGGATGCAAGCCATGGAGAAGCAGATTGCCAGTCTAACTGGCCTTGTGCAGTCTGCACTTTTTAAAGGGTCCATTACAAGTGGTAGCAAAGAGGTATCTAGGTAAAAAGAAGCAAGCCCATTAATCAAAAAATAATCCAACCTGTCTGTCTTTAATCATTAAGATCATTCATTCATTCAAATTCCTTTCCTCGTAATCATTTCAAGGCTGAAAAGATTCACATCTCTATGAATCATGGGGGTGGTTGGGTTTTTGCTTTGTTTTTGTATTTTTTTTTTAACTTCTGGTAATTCTTGGACAAAGGTAACACTTTGGCCCAAGAAGGATAATTGGGCTTCCCAGTGCATGTGGCTTCAGGGACCACTCACTGCTCAGTGCCTGCAACCACCATCCATGTGTGTTCACATCCACCACCATCTGAGAGTCAGATGTGTACCTGGCTACACACTCCCCAATGTCAAGTGCACACCTCGGAGGCCTCTTCCATCTCCACCAGTCATGGTGCCTCATTGCTTAATCGCATCACTGCTAATTGCTTCAGCTAGTGAAGGGAAGGGGCAGAAAAAGCTAAAGGCATTTTGGAAACTGGTTAACTGACTCTCTTTTTCTTTTATTTAGCGAAAAAATGACGAAGGCCACAGCCAGCAGGAACCACACAGACAGTGGAGGTAAGTAAGAGTGCTTGGGAGCTCTAGGAAGCCTGCAGGCTGGTTCAGAGGTCCTCAACCTTTCTCAGAGTCACCAGTTTGGTATCATTTCACAGGATTCTGTGATAACTCCCTGCCCTGCTCCAACTTCCTGCTAATGATGAAATTCCAGATTTAGTCATTAATTTTGGGGTGATGAATTGTTCTCCCCCTCAGTCTTCATTCATTCCTTTATGTAGCCATAGACCTGAGACATATAGGATGGAGGGGCACTGGATACAATGGCCATAAGACACAGAGTTGACTGCCTGCAACTTAGAATACATGGGGAAGTTGAATATGGGACCAGTAATTTTATGTGTGTTGAGTGTCAAGAAATGCAGAATATGCCTAGTGCAGTGGCTCACATCTGTAATCCCAACCACTCAGGAGATGGAAATTCGGAGGATCATGGTTCCAGGCCAGCCCTAGCAAAAAGTTAGTGAGACTTCCTTCTCAGCCAACAAGCCAGACAGATATGGCAGCTCACACCTGTAATCCCAGCTAGGAGGGAGGCATAGATAGGAGAATTGTGGTCCAGTAATAAAGCGAAACCCTATTTCAAAAATAACCAAGAAAAAAGGGCTGGTGGAGTGGCTCAAGTGGAAGCACACTTGCCTAGCACTGTGAGGCCCTGAGTTCAAACCCCAGTAACACCACCAGCACCGACAACACAACAAAAAAAGTACAGGATACATGTTTAGCCAGCAGGACGAGCCTACACTGAGAGCTCCCCTTGGGAGATAACACAAGGTGTGAAGGTGAAAGGGAAGAGGAGCCATGCAGGTTGAGGGACTTAGATATTACTCCAAGTGCAAGTAAAGCCTTTGGAAGCTTCTGTGTTGGGGAAGAATGTCCCAGCTGCAGTGTGGAGATGGAAGAAAGGGACAAGAACCAATGAGGAGTGACCAATAGTCCAGGTGGGAGAAGAAGAAAGACTGCTTGGACCAGGGCCTGCTTTGTAAACACCAGCATTCCCCTAGAAGGGGTCTGGTTCTATCACCAGTGGCCTTTTGTAGGAGGCAGGTGTGTGTGAGGACAGCCTTAATCCATGGTCCCCAGGCAGGCTTTTCTCAAGAAGTGAAGTTTTCCCTCCTATCAGCATAGAAACGGTAATCAGGAATTCACTCAGATGCTGGTGGTACACAAGAGCACGCTGTAAGGAGGGCAAAACCCCAAATTTGGGAAAGCTGCATGTACTAGTTTTCTGCAGCACTGTGGAGGGGGAAGAATTTGGGACTTTGGTTGAAGCCACTTCTGACCTGATCCCGCCCTTGCTGAACACAGTTAGGTTCTATAGCCAGCCAGGCTGATTCTCCAATGCTTTGCCCAGAAATCCATCAGCAGCCTTGAATGAAGCTGGAGAATTATTTCGTAGAAATTGCTAAGTTTGTTCAGAGCTATTGCTAATTTGTTCTGGAGATATTTATTTATTCATTTATTTTCTTATTTATTATGAATGTGGAGTGTGGGGGAACCACTAACTGCTAAAACCTTCCATCTCTCTGGAATCCATTCTAGAAATGATTCATGTCTGACACCATTGTTTTGATCAAATGTACATGCTGTGACATACTAAAAAGCATTTGATGACAACTTCCCATGTGCCAAGCACTGTGCTTGGGGCTTTCCATGTAATAACCCATTGCTCCTGACCTCAGCCTCAAAGGACAGTTATAATTTTCATTCCCAAGTTCCAGACAAGGAAACAGAACACACATCCATGTGACTCATGTCAACATAATCCAAGTACCTGCCGTTTTGTCTTATTCTTTTATGTTAAGATACCCCAGTCCTTGAAACACGTGTAAGTGGTTTCATATCTTTATTTTGAAAGATTTTATAAATGTCTTTTTTGAGGAAGACAAAAGGAGCAAGTGTAACTTCCTTGGATATATTTCCTAAAGTGGGATCAGTAAATCCAAAGAGATAAACAGTGGTGCCAGCAACCCGCTGGGAGCTTTTATTTCTGAAAGGCTCAGCTGATCTGCAGTGACACCAATGAGCTGGTTCTTGTCCCCATGTCTCTGCTGGTCTGGTCTTTCTCCTTCCAGCTATCAGAGCTAGATGTTGTCCACAGATCTTTATTGCCTAGCAGCCTTACACAGCACACAAAATATATCAATTCTTCCAGAATCCTAAGAAGCAACCTACAACATAAGAAGTATGTGTAAAAACATAAGCCTAATTTTATAGAAATCAAGGAGTTCTTTTGGGCAAAAGTACAAAAAAAGGGAAACTCAGATTTCCTGGTTATGTTAGGAATATGTCATTTACTGTAGATAGAACAGAATAGAAGGAATCCCCCACTTTCAAGACATGTCACCTATGTTAAACCATCACAGTGTATATCACTTAACATGTAGAACTCTATAAGGAAGATGATGGTATCCATACTTTATATGTAAAAAAAACCCTGGTTCTCAGGGAAATTAAGTCATTCATTCAAAGCCACACAGCTAGTAAGAGTGACAATCACTGTTGCCAAGTCCCAACCCAATGTTTTCTGTCACAACAAAGTACATTAAGTTCACATCAATGTGCATTTGGTAAGATTCATATTAAGATCTAACTGACCAAAATAAATAACCTGGGGTGGGTGAAGTATACAGAAAGGAATAAGGCTGTGAGAGCAAACTGTTTGTTGATCTCCTTACTAGGCTGGGCAGAAAGGAACAGACTGTGACCGCCCATGTGTGGGCATGGAGAACAGATCCCAGGTCTTTTGAATATAACTTGAGTGAAGACCCTCTTGGAGTCCCCAGCCACCAGACATGTTCCTATCCTGAATCTAGATTTCAGAACACTTGCTATAGGTCTTTGTCAGCTGCTGCTGTGCCCTCCACCAAATACTTGCTGAGACGTTTGGGGTGGGGGAAGATCTTTCTGCCAATCTGCTCAGAGCTAATACTCCCAGCTAAGTGCACTGACACTCACCCTGTGCCACACACAGGCTGAGCAGTTGCATATGTGGATTGCATTGACCTAATAATACCCATTCCACAGATAAGCAAACTGACAGGGTGGTGAAGTTGCTTGTCCAAGGTCACACATGAGGAAATGGATACTTGAGAATGATTCCCAGGTTCTGGCTTCAACAGCTGAGTGGACAGTGGCACCACTGGCACTAGGTCTATAGCGACTAAAAGAGGTTTGGGGAAGATGGGTGGAGACGATGGATTAGAGGCTATTGATATACAATGAGTGGGACAGACGGCAGAGGAGAAAGTGATCTCTCTAGAACGCACAGCCAGGGAGAAGGAGGGAATGAAAATGATGCCAGCTTCCCTGACATGGCGCCATATTGTACGTAGTGCTCTATGCCTACCACCCTGTTGTGGGAAGCTTCTAGAACATGAAGTCTCCAGACTTCAGCCCTTACTTATCACTGCATGACGTACTGCTTTTCATAGTATTTCATTTACCAGTAGTTTTTGTTGGGCTGGGGATCCTGGCTAAGGCCTCCTTTGGCATTCTAAGGCCCTCTGCTGCTCTTCCCTTACAGGAACTGCCCACGTCTCTGGCGGGAAGAATCTGGGCATCCTGGAGTCCATGGGGCCACCCAGTCAGCCTATGCCCGCGGACACCTCAGCCATCCTGCTTGACATGAGGCAGAGCGTGGCAGAACTCAGGCTCCAGCTCCAACAGATGCGGCAGCTCCAGGTATCCCTCGTGGTCATGCCCTCTGGTCCTCTGTCTTAGCTGCTCTAGGGCCGCCTTCTTCTCCTTACAGAGCCCTAGCCCTAGCCCTGGCTTCCCTGGGAGCCAATGGAAGAACAGCATAGAAGCCTACAGCTATAATCCTGGTCTAGAACTTTCTACCCCAGACAGTCTCTAACCTCTTCATTAAGCGATGTATACTTTTACAGAAGAAATAAAAATTCATTCAACAACTGCTTTTGGAAGAGGGCTGAAAGGAGCCTGTGGAGCATTCTAACAGACAGCCAAGGCCTCCAGTTTCTCTGTGTAGACCCTGCCCTCCTTCCCTGTGCCCAGGAGCAGCCACAAGGTGCTGCAGTTGACCCAGCTGTCCTCCCCCCTCCCCAAGGAACTGTGATGTATTAGGAACTATGAGTTTAGAACAAGGGAAAAAAAGCCACCCTGAATGATATGTTGAGAAAAACATCCACATTTATTTGGGTAGTATATTCTAACTTTTCTTTCCCAATGTCAGGGGAACCAGGGGAGAGGAAGACAACCCTTCATGTTAGGAATGCTGGACAGTGCATCCCATACATCTGACAAAGCAGGATACGCTTCCACCTGGTGTGGGTCCCAAGGAGCTGGGGTGGTGCGTCTTTATGAGTTCACATGTCTGTATCCTGTGCCAGTCTTACACCTCCCTGCCTTTGGCAGTGGCTGCACATTGAGGACATGGTCCTGGCTTGGAATTTATGTAGGCATCTATGTAGAGCTTCCTTCAGAAGCTCCAAATCTAAACACTGCTAAAAAGCAGACACACCCAGGAGCCTGGGGCAGTCATGCAGGGGCGGAGACCTCAATAGTCAGAGGGCTGCAGCCTTCTCAGCCCAGGAAGGTGTGGTCAGGAGAGGACTTTGAATTACTGCTGTTCTGCCCATTTAGCACGCCAGTAACCTAAACCTGACATTTTTTTCACCCCCTAATTAAGGCTAAGAAAATGATTTCTGTTGTTCTCTACCCACCAAAGTAGCCGTAGTTGGGTGTGAATAATCCCAGCACTTAGGAGGCAGAGACAGGACTTTCTCAAGTTCCAGGCCAGCCTGGGCTACATAGTTGAGACCCTGTTTCAGATTTCAAGAAAAAAAGCAGGGCAGCTGGTTTGGAAGACCTGTCCTGGCACCCTACCTTGGATCTTGACAGTTGACAGAGCAGCTCACACACTGCTCAATACTCAGGTCTCTGTCTCTCCGGTAATGTCCTAGATACCTGGGACATTCAGTGCAAATTTATTTAAATCACTTCTGAACCATGTCATCTGTCATGGTCCCAGGTTCCTGTCCTTTGTTTGCATGGGCATCTCCTTGCTTTGCAGTTTTTAAATGACACTTTGCAGTAAAATGCAGTGTTGGGATTGGGCTGGAGTTGTATGCCATCGCAACAAAGTCAAATGTCTTCAATGTCCAGGCAGTAACGTGACATGAAGTGAGAAGGGGGTCCAGGGCAAACTGGTCCTTTCCAAAAGTACTCCCCACTGGATCCCAGCCACCTCTCAACCTGATGGAGCCCAGTATTTCAGTAGTTCAAGAGAAAAAAATTCTCTGTTTAAAAATGTTTAGAAGTAACTAAAACTTTCTTGTTTAAAACACCAAAGGCTAAAGGACTTATCTGCAGGTCAGAGAGGCCTCCTCAGCTGCCAGGATTTTACCTAGGATTTCTGGAGTTAAACCTCTTCACACTACTCCTGCCTTATAGCACCACCTGCTGGCTATTTGGAAGTTGTGCGTCCTCATTGGACCCTCACACCAGAAATAGCTACCATTTATGTAGCAAGCCCCAACTGCTCTCCAAAAGTGAGCAGTTGCTGGTTCGAGGACAAGGATGGAATTGCTTTAGAATAACTATCATACTTGCTTCGGATATTTCACAGGACTCTGAGGTGAATTTAGTACTGTGGCTGTAGTGGCTGGCATTGGTGGGTGCCCAGCTGGTTGGGACAGGTCTCCACAGGCTGTTCCCACTCCTTTCACCCCGGGAGCAATTGTGGTTCAGTGAGAACAAAGGCCTTGTTCTTTGGTCAAGGTCTAACAGTGCTGTTGTAGCCACACCTGTTCAATGTCACTGGCTTTGTGGAAATACCAAGAAGTGTGCCATTGAACTTAGAAATGTGTGCAGTTGTCTGGTGCAGACACAGGGGAGATAAGTACTTTGTTTCTTCACCTGGCTGTGACTGTTTGTGTCTCTCTGCCTTTGCATTCCCTAAGTCCCAGTCTTCTCTCTCCCCTCACACTTCTCTCTTCTCAGTCAGGGGAGTCTATTTAAGATAAAAACAATTTAGAATAATTAAACCATGGCACCACCAATCTCCTTCAGCACATATACATATTATTATACACCCAGACTGAAGTGCAAACCCCAAGTGATTGTAAGTCCAATAATGGAGCTAGCATCAGAGCTATGTGAGGCTCAGAGAAAGAGCCTCAAAAGAACAAAAACTGAATTAGAAATTCAAATGTTCTTTGAACTGTGTTATGAAATGGTGAAACTGAACAAAATCTTTTGTGCTTGGCAGCCGGCTCTGGTAATTAGATAATTAAGTCATCAGGAAACTCTAGACTGAGCATATCATATTTGAGCATTTAATTTTCAGAATTGAGGGAGTCTTCTCAAGAATAGATGATGAAGGTACAGGGGTTGGAGAGATTTCGACAGGGCAAAAGGGATGTCACAGATGGAAAAGAAACCCAGGTAAAAGGTCAAGAAACCTGCCATTCTCTCTCTCCAATTTTATGAGTTATCAATCTAAGAAAGGTTCTCAGCCTGGGAATGGTGGCTCTCATCTATAATCCCAGCTACTTGGGAGACAGCGATCAGGAGGATTGCAGTTTGAGGCCAGCTGGAAAAAACTTAGTGAGACCCCATCTCAAAAAAAACAAACTAGCTACATGGGTGGCATAGGTAGGAAGATCACGGTCTGAGACAAAAACAGTAGACCCTATCCAAAAAATAGCGGAAGCAAAGGAGGGGTGGGCGCAAAACCCAAGTGGTTGAGCTAGCCATTGAACTAGGCCCTTGGTTCAAACTCTACACCCCTGAAAAAGTTCCCCATCTTGACGGGTATTGGGTCTACCTCAGGACCTTCACGAATGCTGGGGCCCCTGTGGGAGTCTGATCACAATGGCGTGGACTACAGGCTAGTAGGCTGGCAATTCTATAATGTTCCAGAGTAAACACTACTGCTCTTGAGTCTGGTTGTGGCGATGCATAACTTTAATCCCTGCTAATTGGGAAATGTTGGGAGGTGGAGGTAGAAAGACTGTGGTTAGAGGCCAGCCTGGGCAAAAGCATGAAACACTGTCTTAAACAAAAAAAAAAAAGAAAAAGACTAAAAGCAAAAGGAAGGACTAGGGGCTTGGCTTGAGTGGTAGAGCACTTGCTAGGCACTGAGTTCAATCCCCAGTACTGCCACAAAAAAGAGAAATTTACTGCTGTCAGGTTACTGTGAATGTCCAGTCCAGTGAGTGCTTCATGAAGATGTTGTCACCCCACTGTCACAGAGAGTAGAGCAGAGAGGAATGAGGTCCCCTCCACTCTGCAAGTCCAAAAGACCCAGCGACTTAAAACCTTGACTTCAAACAGTGCACCTCGTTCCCACCGGCCAGTCAGGCGCACCCCTACTTAGTTCCTTTCAGCACAGTGTGTAGAACTTGTGCTCACCACACATCATTGTCACCTAGCATTTCAGTCGCATTATCTGGATTCAGTGGAAAGGGTCTTGTACTTAACTTGTGCTCTTCAAAGGAGATTATCTTTCTCCATTACCCTTCCTGAAACGGTTCAGAAAAACAAGACATTTTCTAAATGATGAATGAGAGTCTTTTTCCCAAAATGCCCTAGTACTTAGATTTTCCAAAGTAATTCCAGATCACAGAAGTGACTGCAATTCTGCCCATCTCTGTGGGCAGAGGACAGAAAGATGTTTCTGGAAGGCTCTGTGAAGGCCAGATGAGACTTGACCTAAATCAAGAAAGTGGGTTCATTTTACTTCTCTAATTCCCACAATTTTTTCTTGGGCACTATCTCCTTTTTCTGCTTCCTGATAAATAAAAGATTGGGTTATTCTGAACTTAGTGTTACATTTTTAAGACTACTGAGAATTTCTTCCCCAGAGAGGGAGGACCAACATGACAAAGAAACCACAGTACACAGAGCTCTTGTATTTGAAATGATATAATGCAACAGTTATTTTATTGTATCTTTTTATATAATAGGGCCTTGTGGGAAAGTGCCAGGGCTTCGTTTATTTTCTGAGATCCAAAATAATGGTCAAGGGAGTGTTTCCCAGAGAAAAGCACAGTGGAAGTCGGCCTGTGTGGAACAGACCTGCCTTCTCCTGCCAGACAGAAATAATAAATGGAATTAGCACAAAATTGACAACTGAACTGCTGGAGGGTTTGCCAACCCATAGTCAGATCTTCAGACAAGGGACTGACCAAAATGGGGAGACAGTACCCAGAAACCTTGCTTCTGTGACCAGGCTTCCTTTGCTTTGTTCTCCAAAGTCTGGGGGAAGTTATTCAGGTAACCAAGAGTCAGTCGTTCTAGGATTTGGCTACCATCATGAAACTTTCTGATGGGTGACAACCTCTGCTCAGTGTCATTGTTAGACAACACTACTAGGGTCAAGACCACGTTTGCCTAAGAAGTCAAGAATGAGCAGATAAGCCAGGTCTGTTTGGAGGTAGATGGAATTGGATTTAAACAGCTCCTTGCTTTGTTCATGAAGTTGACATGGATAACTCATTTAATCCAATTAAATTTAATGGCTAAGAACATTCTTTCTGTGTAAGTATGCTTATAAAAACGTCAAAGACGTTTTCAGTTATTATGCTTCCAGCTATGAGGGAGTGATTGCAATTCTACTTGCCTTCCCACTATTGGCAACTAGAGAACTGAAAAATATGTGTAATAAATGCTTTCAGACACTGGACAGCAGCTAACACAGAACTGTGGTACACAGGAGA